TTGAAGTCCACATATCTTTAAACTGCCACTGTTCTGCTTATTACGCTCTGGATGGGTATAAAGCAGACATAGCAACTCCACAAAGCATCCATTCAAAGTCTTTTTTACTGGTTCATCAGGCATCCTTATCAACTCACAGTTATGATGGAGGTTCTTCTTAATGTCCAATCCTTTGCATATCTGCATTATGGTGTAGAAAGACAATAAAGTCTCATCCCCATGATGATTGAAGCAGCTGCATGGTATGGTGGATTCAGGCAAGAGTGAGGGAGCCTCCCCCAACCCAACGGGTCAATTTAGTGACCAATCGGATTACAGATGTGACCACATGACATGGACTACATTTCCCAGGACACCTTAACTACATTTACCATGATGCATTCCCTTAAGGGGACAGCTCACAATTCCTAACTAACTATCCCAAATCCCATTAACTCTAAACTGTCTGGACAGCACAGCCACAGTTGAGAAACACTGTAATGACAGATACTTCATCCTGTAAGAAGTTAACATTTTGGCTTCTTTTAACTTACTGGATTCCTTGATCAATAGTGTATGATTCTTTGAGATCCAAGAAGGACCGTCCCTCAGCATGCTTTCTACCCAGACAGTAAAATTTCTTCGAGCATAGACTGTGTCAGTGTTAAAAATAAAGTGGGTCTGGTTTCCAGCCTCAAATGGTTGTATTTCCCCTTCTGTTTGATCCCTGTGGGTGAGAAAGGGAAAGGAGAAGTTTAATATATATATATATAAAAGCGAAATTCCACTCATGCATCTTCACAAAATCCCCAGACTGCAAAGCCTACAGACTTAAAATTTGGCATGTATGTTCCTCTTGGCTTTTAGGTTCTCACTGAGGAAGGATTTTTTGAAATAACCTTCAGAGTATTGTGTATATTATTATTAACACACTCTGATGCTAAGGAGTTCTACTCCCCCTCCCCACCTGAAAAGAAATCTGTTCCAAATGCAAAACAGAAGCAGAGGAGAGGAGTTTCAGTTTCACAGCAGCAGCCAGCTTTAGTGCAGAACAGTTGAGCTAAGCCACACTCAGGCTCTTTGCTGTCTCCTTGCTCACACAGCAAATACTGTTTCAGTTTCCAAACAGCTCTCAACTCTCTCACACATTAGTGGTTTTCTTGCAGATGTTTCATTACCAAACTAGGTAATGTCATCAGTTCAACCCAGAGCTACAAATATTTTCTTCAGTCAGTACTTTAAGAGTCTTCAACTCCTGGAATTATCTGGCTCCAGCATACAAGTCCACACATCTTAACATTGCCAAGGTTGAGAAACATTGCATCACGCCAATGGAATTTCATGCATGAGGGCAAGTGACCTCCACTCATACGAGGGGAGCTTCACACATGCGTGCTTGCCCGCCCTCACACAAGGAGGCCAGGGCCTGGGGTTTGGGGATCCCTGCACCAAACCAAACTGGCTCTCAGTTTGAAATAATCTACCTTCAACTCTCAGCCCTCCAATTTCTTTCTGGCATCCAGAACATCATGTTGCTGTAATGAGTGCTTGAAAAAGACCAGTCATACAGATAGGTAAGTTTTAAGGTTCTATATGAAACCATTAGCGAACATCCAAATGTTCCCAATCCACTCCTGGTTATTTAATACAAAAAGGGCCTTTGCACTATTCCAGTATGTGAAAACCAGCTGCACTTTCTGATCAAAGTGAAAGTTCTGGTTGTAGTTATTGTGCTGTCCAGACAGTTTAGAGTTAATGGGATTTGGGATAGCTAATTAGGAATTGAGAGCTGTCCCCTTAAGGGAATGCATCATGGTAAATGTAGTTAAGGCATCCTGGGAAATGCAGTCCATGTCATGTGGTCACATCTGTAATCTGGATTAGTCACTAAATTGACTCTTGTTGGGTTAGGGAGGTTCCCTCACTCTTGCCTGAACCCACCATACCATGCAGTCAATAATCATGGGGTTGAGACTTTATTATCTTTCTACACCACAATTCAGACATGCAAAGGATTGGACATTAAGAAGAACCTCATCATAAATGTGAGTTGACAGGATGCCTGATGAACCAATTAAAATGACTTTGTATGGATGCTTTGTAGAGTTGATCTGTCTGTGTTATGCCATCCAAACATTAATAAGCAGAACAGTTATAAAAGATGAGTTAAATACATCAATGTCTTTTTTTCTTTTCTTTTTCCTCTTCTACCCCACACTTTCTCCTTTTTCCTCACTTACTTTCCCATCATTTACATTTTCTTTGCATTTTGTAGTCTGGTAAGCCAATACAAAATTTTAAACAGGGAGGATTAATTAAATACAGGTTAGTGATGGTAATGTACTGTACTCATCATTTCACTGCCTTAAAAGTTATGGCTCTTTAGCCTCAGAAGTCAAAGGGGATGTGAGATAAAAGATATAAAACATGAATAAAGAAATATACCCCCCGCCCCCCGCATCCTAAGAATCCAAGATCAGCGAGTTACAGACTGGTATAGGAGCAATAGAAACATTTTTTATAACACAAGGCATAATTAAAGTAGGGAATTTGTTCCTAGGATGTGTAGCAGTGCCCTGCAGATCAGATTCCTTTTCAATGTACACACTAAACCCGTGATGGCGAACTTATGGCACATGTGCCAGAAGTGGCACGCAGAGTCACTTCTGCTGACATGCGAGAGGTTGCCCAGAAGAGCCCCACTGCGCATGCGTGAGCCCCCCGCCAGCCAGCTGATTGTCAGGTATCTGCCGTGCATACATGGGAGGAGGTGCGCATGCGCAGAGGCATTAGGCATACAGGGGTCGTGTGTGCATGCGCAGAGGCATGCAGTGTGTGGGTTGTGTGTGCATGCACAGAGGCGCACGTGCAGCGGGTCTCATGAGCATGCACAGGGCTGTGGGAGTTGCACACACATTGCATCATGGGTGCAGGCATGTGAGCATGCAAGCGCGTGCACTTTGGCCAGTTCTACCGGTTCGCACTTATTCGCTAGAACTGGTTGTTAACATTCTAAGCAGTTCAGAGAATCCGTTGTTAGAAGAAATGACTGGCCTAATCCTGTAAGGAAGTCAGGAAGGAAACATTCTGGTGTTGCTTCCAGAAACTGCCTCTCCATTAACCCTTATTACATTCTTGGCAGGACTAGACTTCCTGTCTCTGGAGTTTTTCCCCCCTCCTTTGCTGGTACTTTGTTTATGTGGAGTGACCATTCAAAATTACAATGGCACTGAAAAAAGTGACTTATGACCATTTTTCACACTTACAACTGTTGCAGCATCCCCACAGTCATGAGAGGCCAGGCGAGGAGATGCATGCCTCGATGTGAGTGATGTTGAGTTGGCCAAGCCCAGCCAATAACATGACTACCAAGCCGCGTCCACCCAGTCACATGACCACTAAGCCACACCTACCAACTAAGCCACGCCCACAGAACCAGTTGTTTAAAAATTTGAATCCCACCCCTGCCTTTGGCACGCAACGTGGAAAAGGTTAGCAATCACTGCACTAAACCAAATCAAACTAGCCACTTAATGGCTCAGGATGAAGGAAAAAGAAAGAGAGATTTTTATAATAGAGGCATCAACGTGCTTGGGTCAGCATTCACCTTAAGTGGAGGATATGGTTGACATCTTCTTTACATCCAGCCTCCCAGGAGCAGTTCATAAGACAGAGGAAGGCTGCTTCACAGCAGGGCTTGTAGCAAATCAAATTTTGGGGAGTACAATTGCTGGGATCTGCAAATATAGGGCAAAGAATGATATTCCTGGAAACCTTGGAATTAGGAAATAGTAATGTATGGTGTTTGATTATTTAGGGCAACCCCATCCTGCTTTCCCCATAGAATACAGCTCACTTTGGCAAATTGTCAAACAACATGCACAAAAAATGCAAATTAAAAGTATGTTAACACACATGCAAACACACATCAAAGACCTAAAGAGAGCTAAAGTTAAAGGTAATATCTACAGCAAACAGAAATCATAACTTCATATTATAAACAGATTTTTACTAAATTAATAGAAAGTTTACTAAAATTTCTACTGTTTCTATGATTATGTATTTGGGTTTATGCCATGTTACCTGCCCAGATTTATTTGATTAAGATGGATGACCACATTGATAGGCCAAAAAACAAATGAATAAGATGGCGAGACTTAAATCAAGGTGTTGCATTCTCCTTCTTCCTTCCTCTCTACAATTTTTTTTTTAAAGAAAACTCCCAAGCAGATGAGAAAGTGATTCTAAATTTATTTTAGGTATTTCTTTATATGTAGTTCTGTTTTCCTCTATTTCATAACTGGTGGCGGATTAAGGATAGAGCGTTTGAAAGCATGGAAGGAAGCTATGGTTTTTTTTGTGTCAGCATGGCTGGCTTTATCGCTTCCTGGTCTTCCCGCAAATGAGATAAACTTACCGCTCAAGAGCTCTGATGCAGCCAACCGCACCATCGCCAGCACTGCAACAACAACTGGTACCATCTTCAGTTTCTTCCAGCTTGAGCGAAGGGTGTTTTTCTCTTCCTAGAGGTGCTGGATATTGCAGGGTCTATCATAGCTTGCAGAGAAGTTTGCTCCTTGCTCCTGGTGGAAGGGAGGTACACCTGATTTGAGCAGGAGGGGCGTCTCCACTCGAGGCACTTTCAAGAAAGCTGTACATGCTATCCTGTTTTTCTCTTTCACTTTGCTTTCAACAAAGTGCTGACCACAGAACCTATTGACTCAGCAGCACACACAAACACATGCGTGCCACCTATCTGTGTGTGCCTTTTATGTAGTTTGTGCGTACGAGCTAATTTGCAGGAACAGCTCCGCTTCATCTTTCTCACAAGGAAAACCTACACGTGTGAGATCTAGAACGACTCTCATTCTCTCCGGGTGGATGTAGACAACTTCTGAGTTGTGAGGTTTCATCTGGTAATCGTGTCATTCGCAGACTTCACCGACGTCCTAGCCTGCATATCTGTGGCCCATGAGTATTTTTAAAAGCAAGGGTTGGCTTTAAAAATGATTAGCTTTATTAGCTTTTTGTTTATGGCTTTTAAAAAAAACCTTAAAATGTAATATGGCAAGAGATTAACAAACTGGAATCAGATTTGTGTTCAGGTTTTGAATTATGATCCCCATTAGCAGATGCACGCAATGGTGTTAACGACCATCATTGTGTGTGAATAATTACTGGTAATCTTCATGGTTTGTAAATTGCAGTCACAATATGTACTTTGCCTGGCTGCTGAATTATGGAATACATGATGGAACCATTAACCAAAGGTACTGGTTTCACACAACAGGCTAAGCCACAAAAAAACTAAATCAAGCCAGTCATGTGCTAATAAACTAGTCAGTTCTTCACAGGCTCTGGTTAAACATATGGTAAATACTCAACGGCATTCATATTTTATAATCTTCTCTTCCCCAACCTTGCTTATATACCAGGTTAATCTTGAACTATCTGGAGGATAAAAGAAAGGGTACTTTGCGAAAAAACATGGAGACAATAAATTATTGAGCCATGGTGGTGCAGTGGTTAGAGTGTGCAGTACTTCAGGCTATTTCTTCTACCTGCAATTTGGCAGTTCAAATCTCGCCAGGCTCAAGGTTTGACTCAGCCTTCCGTCCTTCCGAGGTGGGTAAAATGAGGATCCAGATTGTTGGGGACAATAGGCTGACTCTGTGAACCACTTAAAGAGAGCTGTAAAGCACTGTAAAGCGATATATAAGTCTAAGCACTATTGCTATTGCTATATGTTCTCTGTGTTATGTTTTCAGAAAGCAGAGGAATGATTCCTGTAATAATCAACGTTTTCTTTTGGTTAAAACCAAGGAAAACATCTCATTCTATACTAGTGTTTTTTCACAAGTGGGGGGAACCCCACCTTGTTGTGGGTAGAAAGCCACATCCTTTGAATATATCAGACTTTGCAGAAAGCCTTAACTAGGTCAGAAGTGTGGTGAGTAACTTAAGCGAATCAGATTTTCCCATATGTTCCTGTCTAAAACCAGTTTATTCATTGCATTATCTGTGGGGAGGAGATATTGGCCAGCTGGAACTGTGAAAGACTATATCAGCCAATGGCACACTTTATTTATTAATGTATTAATTTATTATTTATTAAATTTATAAGCCACCCATCTCACTATCAAGCAGTTTTGGATAGCTTATTTTTATTTATTAAATTTATATGTGTAGGAGAAGGCAGAGCTGGGGGCGGAATTAAATGTGTCATCAGCTTAGAGTCCTTGCCAACTTAGCACTGACTGTTACAGGTAGTCCTCAACTTACAACAGTTCACTTAGTGAACTTTTGAAACTACAACGGTGCTGAAAAAAAGTGATTTATGACCTTTTCTCACGTGACCATTGCAGCATCCCTATGGTCATGTGATCCAAATTCAGACACCAGGCCACTGACTCATATTTATGACAGTTACAAGGTCCTGGTGCCCCTTTTGTGACTCTGACAAGCAAACTCAACGGGGAAGGCAGATTCACTTAACAACCATGTTACTGTTAACGACCGCAGTGATTAATTTAACAACTGTGGCACGAAAGGTTATAAAATAGGGCAAAACTCACTGAACACCTGTTTTGCTAAGCAACAGAAATGTTGGGTTCAGTTGCAGCCATAAGCCGAGGACCACCTGTAGTTGGCTAGATTCTTGTATATAGGCTTGAATGAATCTTCTGTGCTGCAACTTAACATACGGTCCTGATCCTTTGCCCCTGACAATATGTTTTGTTTTCTGGATTGCTGAAACTGTTACATCTCTGATGCTTGAAGGCGAGAGACATGCCCCCACCTTGCAATTGAAGGCATGCTGCCCCTACCCCTGAAGCAGCTTTCTTTAAAAATAAAATAAAAAAAATAAACTTTGTTAAACATTATATATATATATATATATATATATATATATATATATATATATATACACACACACACACACACACACACACACACACAATACGTAATATACAACATTTCATTGCAAATAAAATCCATATGAAAAACATAACGATTATAATATTTATATTTAAATTTATATACTTAAAAATATTGTGATTAAGTTGTTCTCTCTTTTGTTTTGTTTTCTTTCTTTCTCTTCTTTGTGTTTATATTATATGATAAAATATTCAAATGTTTATTCTATATAACCATATATTGACAAGAGTGTAAAGAAGAATACATATATAGAGAAAAAGTGACTGTTTATGTAATAATAATTTAATATAAGTTAAAGAATTTAATACAGATACCCTCTAAGAATTACATCGACTGACCCATCTAGGATATTGTTTGTTTTCTCCTATTAGTAAAGTATTATTGTTATTAAAGATATACTGGAATGTAGAACTGTAACTTTATAAATTTAAATTGACTATTAGAGATAGGAATCTAACTGTATAAGTTAATTGTTAAATAATCAACTGTTTAAACATTTAATTATTTAAAGTATTAAAGTAATTTAAAGTATTAAGGAATTAACAAATAGAAATATATAAGAATATTTAGAAGCAATAGATTGGTAAACAGTTAATATAAGTGTGGCTCTGGATATTGGGATTGATTGGTAAAACTGCATAGGTTAATTAACTTTTGAAATTTATCGAATTAATTAGGATTTAATACAAGATATAGAGCCTGTAGACTGCATAGTAGAATAAGGATAGTGATAGAAATTAGAGGAACATTGAATGGTGTTGTGGGAGAAGTTAGAAAGAATATTAGGACAACAAAATAGAATACTACAAGAAATGACAAGTATTACAACAACTGCAATGGAGACTGGGGAAAAAAAAACCATCCCAGCAACAACTACAGCAATACCATCTCCATCTACACAAAGATCCATAAAAGGAATGCTTACAACAGATAAAACAATTTCTGCGATGAACACACAGACCATGCAGGCCACTTTATTATCAGTACAAGAAACAATGATAAAGCTACAGGAAAATAGGACTAGGAACCATGGAGAAATGAAAATAGAAATGGAGGAAGTGAAAAGAGAAGTGAAAAATGACATTCAGAAGATGAGAAAGTGGGCCTGGTTCAAGAAGTCTTACAAAAGAACGACCAAAGACTCCAAATGATCAAGAAGAGAACAGAAAAAACAGAACAGAAATTAGAGTTGGTAGATTAGAAAATGAAAGATGATAAACAACAAGAAATTTATTACAAAAAAACACATGAGAAAATTTTAGAATTAAGCAAAGAAGATATTTGTATGATAGGGGACTTCAATGCAGTTGCAGGATTATCAAGGATTATCAAGGATAATTATAAATTATAAAGGATTATCAAAATACTAGTAAAAGAAAGAAAAAAGAACACCCTTCCAAAAACATTTTTAACATAGCAGAAGAACAAAATTTAATAGGTATTTGGAGAACACACAATCCAAAAGAAAAGCAGTTCACCTTTTATTCCACTCCCCATAAATCATGGTTGAGAATTGATATGGCATGGATAAGTAAAACCCTAGTGAAAGACATAGTGCAGGTACAAATAGCACCAAATGTGTGGTCAGATCATAACCCACTAATAGTAACATGGAAAGGCCAACAAAAACAAAGAGGGAGATGGATGCTGAACCCATAAATTCTGAGAGATAAAGAATATTTAGAAAAATTAAAAAAAGAATTAGAAATGTTTTTGAAGTAAATATAAAAGAACACACTTCTTTATAGAATCTGTGGAACACAACGAAAGCCTACCTAAGAGGTCAAACAATTGCATATATTGCTAGAAAGAAAAAAGAAAAAGAAAGTAATGAATTACAGAATGATATCAGAAAATTGGAAAGACAAGCACAATTAACAGCAGAGAATGAGCAAATCATAAGTAAATGTAGTTCAGCTAAACATAAACTGAACATATTAGAACAGGAAAGAAATTTAAGAGCCTTGAAATTAGTAAAGCAAATATTATTTTGAAAATGCAAATAAGCCAGAAAGGTGGCTTGCATATAGGTTAAGGAAGGAAAAAGAAAAAAGATGGATCCAGCAATTACAAGATAAGGAGGGAAAGATACAAAACAATATGGAAAAGAAAATAAGAAATAGTACTGGAATATTTTAGTGAACTTTATAAACAAGAAGATATGAGTGAAGAGAAAATTAAACAATACTTAGAGGAAGAAAATATTCCAATACTAACTGAAGAAGAAAGGGAAAGATTAAATGAAGAGATTACTGAGGAGGAACTAAAAGAGGCAATTAGTAAACAAAAAAATAATAAAACCCCTGGAACAGACAGGCTACCGGCAGAATTATATAAAACCTTAGGTGAAATATTCGACCCAATCCTTTTAGAAATTTATAATGAAGTACTCACAGAGGCAAAGCTACCAATGTTGTGGAGAGATGCGTACATTACATTAATACCGAAGGAGGGCGCGGATATCAGTCACATAAAAAATTATAGACCAATTTCTTTATTGAACGCCGACTACAAAATATTTATGAACATAATGGCTGAGAGATTAAAAAAAATATTGAGTAGATACTTACATACAGATCAAAACAGTTTCCTACCAATAAGACAAATAAAAAACAATACAAGGACAGT